TTGGAAGTTACGGGATTTAAGTCTCAGAAAACGTAAACTACCAATGTTTCAAATATGCACTTTTAGTTAACAGTAATTTAGCAATTTCAGTTCTAATTGCACATTAGCAAGACAAACATAGTTTTTCGCCTTTAACATTAATGGTGCAGATCAGAAGATAAGCCATTACCCATTTAATCTAGTTCACTGTATTTGTTGTTGGACTTTTCCTTAATGTGTTCTCCATCTCTGTGAGTGCTTCTGAACTTTTCACTTCAACAGCTGTGATATTCTACATACTAGTGAATTTTGGATCATTCTTGATGCTACTCTTCTTTACTGCTGGTGGAAAAAATGTCTGTTTTATTGGTGGAAGTGGTGGACACTTCACCAGGAGTGGTCCATTGTAGGTGGTAATGGGCAGACTACTCTCCAGCAATTCAGCTGGAAAGAAAGAAGCAGTGGAAGGACTGTACTAATTCCTCATATAGTTTGAATTGCAGTCCTATTCACCCACAAGTTGTTTTGTAGACAACCAGTTGGCCAACATCTCAAGTCTTTTGACTTTCTAGCTGATTAGAAGTTGGTCAGGTTCTGCTGATGGAATCACTTAACCTTTTGAAGTTTGTCTGCTAAACGACCATTGAGACCCTAGCAAAATTCCCTGAAACATTTGTGAGAAGACTTAAGACATTGGCAAACTGGTCATAAATTAGGAAACCAAATTGTAGGTGAAACCACCAGTAAACCATAGTTCCAGGAATTATCAATGTCAGGGTGTCAAAGTAAAACTGCAGCTATTTCATAGTTATGGGTATGCAAGCTCTCTTATCCAAATTAATTTTTTGTATTGCTGGTATTAAGTCTGAAAGTCATGAAAATTGTAATTAAGCCACAGATGCGTACAGAGGGTATTGAATGTTTGTTAACTCATAAAAGAAACTTGATTAAAAATAGGGTGAAGCAATTTCCATTTGTGTGTTAATCGCTTTAACTCCCATGAGTGACCAAGATAGAATTTCTCCTTACAATATCAATGCAATATGAAGCAAATAAGTGATGAGAGTAAAGAAAAATATCAATTAGAAGATTATTAGTTTATTCAATTCAAAATTCTCCAAACTAATCATGTGCATCAAAATTTCGCCAGGCACTTAATCCAGGAATAAGTAATCAGTAATCAAAGTTTATGTCTTTACGTGGGGCATGGTGACCCATATTGCCCTAGCCAGAGGCTCATGTATAAAGCGCAAGACAACAACTCACCCATCCCACCCTAGGGGAGGACAACCATCACACAGTAATCTTATGCATGGGAAATTAAAATCTCCCACCCCTAACCCTGCAGGAGACGGGACCTCCATTTATTCGTCCCTATCCGAGAAGACTAGAATATCTAACCATTTCTTGATGTTATAGAAAGGCAGCATATTCTTCTCAATTATTTTAAGACCTTGAGTGTTGGTCCGGCCGGGGCTCGAACCCTCGACCTCCCGCACAACAGTCCAGCGCTCTATCCATTGAGCTAACCGGNAATCCACCAAAACCCCCACTAAACAATAAGGCCCCAAAAATGCAACCCTAACTAAAAAACACCACAAATTATTTTAGTCATGAGCATCATTTGCTTGCACGCTCAAGAACTGGAAAAATTCTGAACATGCATCATGCCTTTTTGTGGTGTGTCATGTAGTTTGATCTAATTATTTCTCTGTGTCTTTATTTTAGAGGTTTCACTCCTACATGTAAGCACAGGGAGACTTCAAAAAAACTTTGATGCTGTTTTAAAAGAAGGGAAAATCTAAAGGAGGGGAGGGGCTTATAACATTTCAACTTACCATGCAAAAGCAAAGAAAGCAGCCATCATTACAACCAACAAAATTCCACCCAGAATGAAAATTGCTTGCAGCGTGGTCACCACCATTGAAAGGCCACCTGATTTTTCCGTGCCGTTTTTTGGTTTATCTTTTCCTCTACCAGAAACACCATCATGACGTCTGTCGTGTGCCAAAGACATACCAGTCCAGCGAACTTCAGAGACAGGCACCTCGAATGGTTCATTACCTGATTTCATCTCAGTAGATTGCTCTGACTATTCTTCTGGATAATGAACAAGGGAAGGGAAAAGACCTTGAAGGAAATTATCTGCTCTTTTCAAACTACATAACCTACTGATCCTGAAAATGTCAAACAAAGAAAACAAACAAGAAGAGAACAAGATGAGCCAGAATTTCAAAATGATATCATTTTGAAATTCTGGCTCATCTTGTTCTCTTCTTGTTTATTTTCTGTGTTTGACATTTTCAGGATCAGTGGGTTCTGTAGTTTGAAAAGAGCAGATAATTTCCTTCAAGGCTGTTTTCCCTTCCCTAGTTAAGGAAAGTTAAGTTAAGCTATTCAATGCCTAAT